ACAATTCTTCAGCACCAGCCAAGTCCTCGTCGGATGCGTCCATGACGGATGAAGATTTAATCAAGGTTAAAGATTCGGAGGGCTGTAGCACGTCGAGTTCTATGATGTCGATAGGCTCAAGAAATTCAAATAAGCTTCTGTTTCTTGTAGTTACGAAAGTTGTGAGAGGCTGATCCATCGTTGATTCTGGTAATTTTGAAAAGCTTTGAAGGAATTCGATAAGCAGTTCGTTGGAAACATCGACATTTTCAAGATGAAGAGCAACTGGTAGAGAAGGCATTTTGTTGACAATTTTAAAAAAATCGATAGCGGAAAATCCTTCATTTGTCAATGAATCACAGTTAAGTCGCTTAGCGAGATTTCCAAAGGATTTTAGGAAACTTTCCGGTGTATCTGCGGTAACCCAGATGCAGTTCGCAGACCGTGAAGTGTAAACTTCTTGAAAGAATTTTTTCAGCAATTCAGACTTGCCAATCCCTCCTAATCCCACGATAAGGACTACTCGTGGAAGACCAGTTTCTATTGATGAGTCATCACAATTAATTGATGCTTTCATGGCATCAAGTTCTCGGCCTCTTCCCGAGAAGTTTTTAGCAGCTTGGGGAACATCGAACCAAAATGGCTCAACTAAATTCCTCCCCTATAAACGATTAAGTTCAAATTTATCAATCATCAATCGCATTTCCATTATAATTAAGTATGCATACATATGTATGTAAATATTACTTTATATTTTCGTCTAATTTCTGGTTCGAATTCAAATAACTTTTGAAACTGGCCTAATGCCTCCTCAGCTGTGGGGCGATTGTCAGCGTTTTTATCGACCATCTTCATTAAAATATCTTGCACAATTGGATCCCTCCTTAGTTGGTAGTCTGGATTTAAGGGTGGATCAAAACCGGAGTCTACTACCTGCAGGAATGTTAGACCCAGTGAATAAACGTCCGATTTATACGACGTGAATCCATCAGGGCTTCGATATTCTCTTTGACCTGCGACAGAAGCTTCTATTCCGTCGCCAAAGTTAACAGCGAGACCAAAATCTGCAATTTTCCAAGTGTTCTGGTCATTTGATACTGTTTGTAAAATATTTGAGGGTTTGATATCCCGGTGGACGATCTTTTTCCTGTGTAAAAATTCCAGACCGGTAGATACTTGAAGTAGAATTTGGGCAACTTGGTCAGCATCGGTATTTTCACTGGAAAATATTAATCAGTCTTATGTACTAATTTTTAAGTTTACCATAAAATCTACTTCATAAAATCTTACCCCTTTCGACAATCTGCTATAAACTTTTTCAATGTAGAATTGCACAATTCTGTCTGAATTGATAAGTAATGTTTCTCCAGATTTGTGGATGACACACTTTCTGTTCCAAAGTCGGTAGGAAGCATCCCATTTATTACTTTCGGACCTGACAGCCAGCACGAATTATAGCGTAAAATATTAGGATGATCCAGCTCTTGTAAAATTTTAACTTCCCTATTTCGTGCCAATAATTATAATAAATGATATAATTGGTGCTTTATAAAATGAAATTTTAGTGCTTTTTTTTAAAAAATACATTCGTACCCGAAAAGTTTGTTGCAATCCCATTGCAAATGGGGAAGTGCTTGCTCGACAGGAATTTGTTTAAGGGCGTATTCCTTTTCGTCAATTGTATGTTTTACATGCCAAACTTTTCCAAAGCCTCCTTCCCCCAATGGAATGGGAGACACAAGGGTGAAAAATGGAATCCCAAAAACCACGTCTATCTTTGAAGCCATTTGACAATTTTTTTTAAAATTTACTTAGATATGTATTAACTTTATCTAACTAAATATACTTATGTATTTCAGTTCAAACGGATTGTGGCTACTTGAACTAAACACATACGTAGGTTTATGTATGTAGAAGCACGAAAGCATATGAACATTGGCATTGAAGTATGTATTGTGTATTATGTATTGTGATTTGTAATAATTCACTTATCAATCACATAGAGATAATCACTAATCACACTATTGAAGCATTATTAAAAAGATATTCGTCATGCATTTATCTATCACGCCTGAACATGACATTAACTATCAGTTTTACATTATGCTCACTCTGCTTGTGAAACCTTTACATTTATGTACATTAAAAATATTCAAATTCTGCTAAAATCCGCATATTATTTCACGTGATTGCTATTTTTGGCTTCGCTTAAAATACGTTTGACAAAATTTAAATTTAAAGGGTTGGACCAAATTGTGCGTGAATACGTTTTAATAATCAGTATGCTAATCAGGATTTGCATAATTTTAATGGTTTTTTATAATTGCCTGAAAGAAAGTAATTTTTATAGATTATTTAGTCATGTACTTATTATAGTGATAGTTTTTAATCACGTATGGTATCTTCATTTCATCCCCTACCTTTCATTCCACATTTCATACCACATGCACACGCATGTGGTATGTACATATGCACATTTATCTGCGTAGTATGTAACTGCATGCAAGTCCTATTAAAAACATCAAAATTAATACCCAATATCTCTCACTTAATTAATACCCTTCCCCTTGAACCAAATCAAGATTCGTCCCGTATACCGAATAATCGCTAGCACCGTGTGCACCGTCGTGATTTTCTGTATCGTCATAAACGACGCTACTTTAACCCCTTCCGATCTCAAGGATCGCAACGCCTTGTTGCAATACGGTGAAGTATTTTGAGTCTTCCACGCCTTGACCACTTTAACATATAGAATTACAACTTTTGAGATTATGTTGCACGAAAATATTAAGAACAAGGTTGCCATTGAGGATATCACTGCGCCGAGAAACTTGCCAACTAGGATTGACAGAAATCTTCCAGGTGCAACGAAAGTTGAAATAACGCCATAATTGCAAAGGACCGATATTCCCATGAGCATTATTAGCGTTGTGGGGACAATTTGGGGGCCAACGATATGGTTGCAACGTTGCCGCAAAAATTGAAGTATGCGCAGTGTCGTCACCACATTTTTGGGGATTCGGGCAGTCCAGGTTGTAACCGGGTAGAAGTGCAAATTCGGTCTGGAAGATATTTATAGTTTTAACTGACTGCTCAAAAAAATATTCCGAAAATTGTTCGTTGAAAAAATAGAGACAAAAAAATCTGAGAGGTTATCTGGCAGAGTTTGTTAAAAAATTAAGTTAAGAAAATTTATGTGTTTTTGTTTATTTTTAACGAACAGTAGACATAAATTTTAATTACAATACTGGCATCACCTTAATTCCCTTAGGATCACTGTTACCGGGTAGACCTGTGGAATTAGGAAGAACGCTATGTTTACCATCATAAGTACTCCGGAAGCGTAGATCCAACAATGAATCCCGGTTAGGAAAATCATTAGTGAAATTGGGCCAAAACCCCTGGTTTTGAAATAGTCGAGGAATATGGAAGTCAAAAAAACGTTTAGCTGTGGCTCCGCCAATGAAAAAATGGGACAACCGAAAGCAAAAATGGTTAGATACAAATATAAAAATATTTTCAGAAAAGTCTCCACTTTTCCGGCGGGAATCCCACTTTTCTTGACGGCAAGGTTGCAATATTCATCTTAAATTATGCAGAAACTATATAAAGTATATAAATTTTATACGATCAAATTGATGTTTTTAAAATTTTACCTCCAAATTTCCTATAGTATAAGTACGTAACGTTGACATGCTCGATAGAATGGTCTCGCGAAACCAAAAATTCCGGCCAACTGACAAGAATGAGAAACAAAGTGCAGATTATGGCGATGACGTGGATAATAGCTCGAATAGATTGTAGTGGATCTTTGTCATTTAAAGTGTTGGGCAGTCGGAAAATTAGAAAGGTTACGTATGCAAGGAAAAGTGTTAAGTTGAGGTAAAATGGGGTCAAGGATTTCTTCCTGATTAAAAATCTCTGGGGCCCACCGTACTCCCAGGGAACGCAAGACATGAATGAAGACATTTTCAAAAGTTGGATTGTCAAGTTTTCATGGGATTTTGAAATCATGGTTGAAAACTAAGGATAAAATGTTCGTTAATTTTGACACACGATAATATCATTTGGAAATGTGTAATTAGGAATTTTGTAACTGTTTTGGGGAGTGGACTCTAAATGTGGATTTAGCTAGGGAAAAATGGGGTTACAGGCTAAAATTTCAATATGCTGATTCCTGTAAAGCTCAAACTGTTATGATTTGCACACAAATCGTAGACTAAATTCGTTCAGTATGCAAATTTGGATTAAAGAGGCTGAAATGGCTTTTGCAGAAAAACAGGATCTTTTGGCGCATCGGTACTATTATTAGCTAGGCTTGAAATAAAAATCGATTCTTCGTTTATACAATAAATATATGAATATTTTAGAGCATTGCTCCGATTAAACGGTGCAAACCTTGGACTTTTTTGCAGTAATTATACAAATTTGGGATAATTTTTAAATCGTATAATTATATATATTTAACTAAATTATGACAGATTTCCAGTCAGTTAAATTACGATAAGAACCTCGTTTGCGCAATTATGAAGCATTTGCAAAAACGAGTATGCTTATGTAAATACAGATGTGCGGAAATATTTATTTTTTTCTCTGTGCAGAATTATTGGTTAGGCAATCACTTGCAATTAGCGAATGTAATTGTGGCCCAGCTTACCAACATTTGTCTGTGAATTGATAATGAGAATCGAATTCCCATTATCAATTCGCAGACAAATTTCCGGAATTGTCTGCAGAACATTGCCTAGAATTTAGATAATGCCGTTGAATTTTTCCCAAAATCCTCGCGCGACAAAAGTAAAGATTTTTTGAATTTTATCTACTAGCTCAAACTCTGTTCCTAAAATGAAATGCAACGGTAACAAAAAATTTATATCATCGTACAAAATTGATTTATGCAAAAATACTAAAATTGATTAAAAATGGACCATTTAAATGGAAAATATACCTCATTGTCTAAAAACGTTAGTGGCAATCAATAAAAAACAAAGGAATTTATAAAATCGATCAAACAATAGAAGTTCGTCAGCTTTGGATAATAATTTATTTAGTGTTTCCTTCAAATCATACAATAATTCCATGATCTCGACACAACTGCGTGGAATTATTAGCCAGCCTAATATTTTTCCTGGCCTCGTCTTCCCCCTCGATAAAAGTGACCACCATCCCGGACAAGTTGTGCCAATCGATGTGACAATGGAACGTCCACACACCTGAATTATCCGCCACGAAACGTAGGACTAGATACGATCTCTCCTTAACCATCGCGGTATCTCGTAAAATTCCATTTAATCTCAAAGGATGTATTTTTGGATCAAAATTCCCATCTCCCTCCTTTCCAGACGCCATAATCCAAAAATGATGACCATGCAAATGCATCGGATGAGGACCATCGATCGGATTATTGATAACCAGCTGAACCACCGACATGTATTCGAGCCTTAACGGAATCGTTTCCAGTGGGAGTGGAATATTTTGCAACATTTTCATAAGTATCGGTTTCCCGCTCGGCAGCTGGAACGGCGTCCCGTTAAAACTAGCTCGCACAATGCCCTCTGAATCGCGGCCGAATTGAATATTTAGTACGAATTGTTGATCCACCGTAGATGGCGCGGTCATTCCGCCTAACGGAGTGATATCACTGTCCGTCAAGAATTTCTGGGGTGTGTTGATCCTTGGCGGGATAGTGTCGGAATAATAGAACGGTTCTTTCGAAACGGGCACGGAATTTGAACCTCCGACAGGAACACTGTTATGATATTGGAGCATTCCCACCCCCTCGGTAATTATTTGGTCGGGAAAGGGATTAATATTCGTTCCTGGAACGACGAATAAGTATTCGGTCCGAAGTACGGCTCTGATCGGGAATCTCCCACAGTTTCCGGGTGCCCCCTCGTTTTTCTTTAGAAGAAAGGCATATCTTTGCCCAGGCGCGATGAACACGGCGTCCACAACCTTGCCCGGTTTAGCCACCTCGATCCCGTCAACTTCGACGACAACGAGGGTATGATGATCCACGGAAACGTTGAACATCGCCCTCCCGCCGACATTGATTAACCGCATTTTGGTAAGTTTTCCCTCTTCGAGGTGAAAAACGGGCATTTGTTGGGCTCGGTAGGAACAGGTACGATTCTTAAGGACGGCATATTTGCAATTGTACCGCCCCATACCGTTGACCAGGACGGAATCGGGGTAGGGCGGGGCTCCCTGAGAACGGGTGGAGAGATGCCACGCCTCATTTTCAGGGCCGGACTGATGATACCATTCGGTCAGTTTTACGGTAAATTCGCCATCGTACGGGTGCACGGTTTCGACCCGTTTTCGGACAATAAAGCCACCCCAGAGGCCCTCCGTGTACTGACTGGCGTGGTGCGAGTGGTACCAAAAGGTGCCGCTTTGGTGGAGGTGGAAACGATAAGTGTAAGATCGATGGGACTTGATGGGGCATTGTGTGACTTGTGAGGGGCCGTCGTCATGGGGGGTGCCGTACTGGTGGATCCCGTGCCAGTGGAGGGTCACGTTTTGCCCGTCTTGGATACTGTTGATGACGTTGACTTCGAGGATGTCGCCTTGATAGGCGAGAATAGTTGGGGCTGGGAATTTACCGTTGATTGTGAGGATGTGGGAGGTTTGAACGCCGTCAGGAGCTCCGTTTATGTAGGAGATGTTAAAGTTGTAGCGGACTATGGTTGGGGGTGGGGGTGATTTGTCTGGAAGATTTATAAAAATTGTAAATTAGTTAAATGAAATTGTTGCGAAATTTTTGTTCGAAAACAGTTTTTGGAAATTTTTAGTTTTATTACGAAATAAGCAGGCTTATTTTCTGAGTAAATTGGTGAACAAAAATTCAATAGTTCTCACGTCAAATAATTTTTGAGAAAATCTAGTAAATTGATATTATCAACTTAAGTTCTCAAGTTCTATGAAATTTTCAAGATTTGCGAACTTTGGTATAACTTTTTTTGCTTTAAAATCATGAAAATTTTGTTCGAAAATTTATCAAATCAATGAATACGTATTTATTTCTTAAGCTTATTTCGAAAACTTTTGCTGAATGAGGTCAGACATGAAATAAGACGTTGAATCATTGATTCCTTACTTACCAATTAACCTGAATGCGGATTGTTCACAAAGTGGTGAAATTGTCATTGAACATTTCGTGCTCAGCCAGTTACCTCGGCCCCAAACGGAAGTAAACATACAATTTTCTTGTGTATTACTCAAACTTGGTGCAGAATTCCAGCGATTGAAATATTTTATCCTGGTTCCGTCCGGCCATACCCAACGCCCTTCTTGCTCCAAATCAGACCCACCCAACCAAAAATTGGATCCGGCTGGAAATATTTACCAATTTAATTCTCGTTTGTCTGGTAAAAATTCTATTGAAATTTTACAATTTACCGGAATTATTAGCCCCTTTCGTAATCCTATTAATGATCTTTTGGTCGGCGGAATCCATTATGGACACCAAGCTCATCGACTTGGTGTTCTTGCATAAATTGGAGTTTTCTTCTTGATTCATCTGCAAATATAAAAATTTACACTTTTGCAAGTCTGATATACATAGGTATTAATTTCTCGGTATTAAACTTGCTACCGCTTGATATTAAAATTATACCGGTCCAAAAAAAATAGCTACCGATACGGTAAAACTTTAATACTGAGCTATTACTAGATGGAATCACTTATCAATACCACTTTGGTAGAGTCATACCATGAATACCGCTCGGAATTAATTTAATACTGGATTTCTAAGAGTGTGCTTAGAATCCATGTATAAATTTGTTAACTTGTTCTGAATACATACATACCATTGCGGGTTTGGCGTCACCTAAATTCCAGTAGATTTCCTTGACCAGTTCGGCCGCCGGTTCGAGGAGCTGCCCATTGCACACGGTCAAGATAGTTGAGACAAGAAGAATGGAGTATAACGTGATATGCATTATGATGCCTGTGGTTATGCAAGATAATGCAATTCCTGTCACCCAACTTAGCTTGTAGTCAACTGATCACGGTGGGTTGGCGAAGGTCAGTCAATATAAAATATATGTAGATACTTGCACAGATGTTACGTCGTTTGAATCATAATTTTTGCCAGAGTCACGAGGTGTGCAACTCTATTGAAGTCATTTTTCCAATGAAAAAATGTGGATTAATTTAAATTCGTAATATTAAGTATTATTGAGAAATGATGTATGGAAACGTCATTTCATTCTTAAGCTTGCATGATTCATTTAGCATGCACCTGTCTGGAATATTACTGCGGATCGTACATAAATATGTAAATAGGTAGCAGACGTGCAATATTGCACGTAATTCGATTGCATGTAATAATTTCAAATCAACATAAAGTTCATTATGTCTGCTCGTCTAATTAATTCTTGACTCGGAGGAAAAGCAGGGATTAAATTTATATTTACGTAATTATTTGTCCCATGATTTCGTAAATGTGCATTCATTTAACAATTTTTGATTCCAAAATTTTTTCAATTGTATTTTCCCCAAATTGTTTAGGAACAGCGAAATCATTAATTCATGGAATATAAGAACCCTGTTAAAGACGAATAGATGTAACTCATCTAATCCAATAACGCGTAAATATTTTTTTCACGAATTGTTTTTTTATTGTATCGTATTCATAAAGATTTTTATTATGTTTAACAAATTATTTACGACTGTAGAAAATTCAGCATAAAATTTTAGGTTATTCATTCAGACGAAATATTCGACTTCTTCTCGTTTACATAAATGCAGCACAATTCCATTAACCCTTTCACCACCGGCAGGTGACGATTTAATTCTATGCATTAGCTCCGCGTCATTTCCGGATGTTTTCGGATTAACGAGGGACATCCCATTTGTGGTACAAAGAGTAGCAGCAGCTTGGGCGTTTAATGGCTGAAATTTCATAATAATGTAGACCACGCATTTTTTAAATAAATGAACTTGCACTACAAATTTCACTCACCTGATTTTCAATTCCAGATTTAGCCCAGTAGTAAGAAATCATTGTCCGCCCGACGAGTTGGAGACAGACGGAATTATAAATTAGAAATAAATTTGCGCAAAAAACTAATGCCGTAATTTGCATTAATTTCATTTTGCCAAAAAAGATTACCAAATTACGAAATTTATCAAACGAGTATGACTCCAACCTCAAATTAATGTGAATTGAGATAGAATCATTTTGATGAGAACGTTGAGATTTTGAGGAATTGTGATGCAAATTTTGCTAGAAATGTGGGCATGGTGCATTATTGATTTGCTAAGCGAATAATTATGTATGACGTTAACTTTTACATTATCGATGCATTTTAAATAAATACATGTGACTCTGTTAAATTTATTTACTGATGCAATAAATTTCTCAGAATTTAATTATATGTGTATGCTGTAATTTTAATAACCCATAAAAATTAGAATTGAATATACAGATATATGCATCTGTATATGCATTTTAAGTCAATAATTACACACAAAATAATTTTGAAACGGTTTTTGGCACATCTCACTTGAAATGTTTTTTCATTCCGTTTTTTTCTAATTGGTAATGACCAGTGTCCAAGTCCACTTTGAAGTTGTGAGGTCAGGTCGTGGAAACAAGATCCGAATTCCAGGCGAGGCTGCGTCAAACGGTAAGTTTCCTTCGTGACCTAACATACTAATCGTTATGGTCGGATTATACGTTACGGCGCCGAGTTGGACAGACTCCCCAGGCCAGGAAGTCACAAAAGCGTAGATCTTGCTCCCATCCGAACTGGCAGTATACCTGCATACATATGTACATAAATATTGAAATTTAAACCAGTCATGTGCAAACCACACATACATACATTTTCTGTGCAAATATTGAAACTCTGGCAAATTTTACAAATTAAACGCGTTTATGTTGAACATTTCTTGCAACGTTTTACGAAATTGGGGAGATCTGTCAAAATTCATTGCTCCCAAGCGATAGGATCTTCATTAGAAAATTTACAACACATGGGCATTTCTTAAGATTGCATTACAAACAATTTTTTAAATGACTTGCAATGGGGGTACTCATTATGCGATCGCATATTCGAACCGCAACATAATTTCTAATAAATTTCTAACTAAATACTAGACTTGGAGATTGTCAAGTTCGCGAAAGAATTTTCTGGCCAATTCTTTTGCGAACTTGTCAACTTAAGTTTTTTTGCTAACGTTGCGAACTCATACATATATGAATACCCTGAATGTGAAATATGATGAAATTGTGCGTATGTCAAATTACCAGACTCCTTGTGTCACTGTGTCATTTTGACTCGTCCAGGGAACCGAACCGTACACAGCGACTCCATTAACGCCCAACCAATCGCCCATCTGGAGGAGGCGTTCTTGTTGGATTGGAGCGATCATTCCTTCCCGTGTGGGCCCCACGTTGACTAAAAGGTTCCCCCCACAGGACACGGTTTCCACCAAAGTTCTCATAAGCTCTTCTGGTGTTAAGTAATCTTCGATCTTAGCATTTTTTCTGTACCCCCAAGACTGCTTGTCCAGGGTCATACAGTTTTCCCACTTATGAGGGAGAAGATATCCTGGAAGGAAATGGGAACACAAATATTAATTAATGTGCAGAAATATCCTGGTTTAAAGATGTGAGGTATTAGGTTAATGCATTTGCGTAGAAAATCAACTCGTATCAATTTCAAGTGTGAGATAACGGAACATGATATTGTATACTCTTAACAAAATCAGGTCCAGTATGTGGTCAAAAATAACACTAAGCTAAAGAACTAGATAAATATATCACTATTTATCAAACACAACCAGAATGATAGCAAATATTACTATGTATATAGTAGTATGGTACGTATGAACGTATATACATACATATGTATGTATGTATGTAAGCATCATGCGATGATATACATATGTGTATGCATTATCGTCAAATTGTATATTGTCTATTGTCTATTGTAATTGTCACCAAACTTGGTGACAATTAATTGTCAAATAGTGGCAAATTTAACACCAAACATATCTACAGATATTCTGTAAGTCAGAATTTAACCGAATATTTTAGAGTTTACAGTTTTATGCAAATACGTGCACATCAAATTTACGTAATATCGCAACCAACTACGACAGATTAAAATTCTCCCACCACTTTTTAAAAACAACGTAAATAAATAAACATTTAGAAATTTTTACCAGGATTAAGACGATCGCCACCAGTCCAAAAACCACCATGCTCTCCTCTCGTCTCACTCCCCCATCGGTCATTGATGGCAACGGTATCCTTGACAGGAGATTCGTTGTACAGCCAAGCTAGAAATTCGGTGGATTTCCAATATGTCGAAAGTGCTTCCCACTCTCCGTCAGGCCACACGATTTCTGGGACGTACCGTTCCACCTTTGCAATAACAGGGAGGTACATAAATTTGTAATTTAGAGTAAAATTAGTCGAATTTTAAGTACAGCTCACATACAACTTCCTTAAAAGCAGGGATCACTTTTGTCGTGACAAATTCATCCGTCGTGAAGCCATTCGCCTTATCTTGCATCCATAATGGATTGTACCACTCATACATCGAGTAGTAAAGGCCAAAGCGGAGCGATGTCCTGTTCCTGATAGCCGCAGCGAATTCCCCTGAGATAAGATAAGAATACTTATCGACAAATAAAAATTATTTATGTACCTAAGTACAGAATTCTTTAAGAAGTCATATATATCATGATATCATGAATAAGTGATCAAGATCTTCCTACAGTTCTCGGTCACACTAAAAAATCCGTAAAATCAGTACACTTGCAAACTTTCACAAAATTTTAGAAAAATTTGTAAGGAAAATTAGCTTACAATTTTTTTTAATTTTGCTCAGATCAAGGGCGTTCTTCGTTTTGTAAAAGCTTGTAAAATTATTTAACGAAATTTGCGTACATATTTCACAAGTTACCAAGGACTGCGTGAATTGCCTCAATATTTTCGCCACGAATGAGCAAAGCTGTGAATTTTTGTTAGAATCGACTAATTAGTCGCGATAATTGATGTCACTTACCAACGAGATCTCTGTGGGGCCCGACATCCATAGAGTTCCAGCTGAATGAATATTTCGACGGCCACAGGGTGTAACCTTCATGATGCTTAGAGGTCAGGACTACGTAACTGAAAATATTGTAAAAATTTTGGAAAATTTTGCAACGTAAATTAATTACATATGTACATATGTACATACTTTGCACCCGCTCGCTGGAAAAGATCCGCCCAGTCGGACGCGTTAAAAAATTCGGCTGTAAAATCGGGACCAAATTCCTGATAAGTAAAACCAGGCTTGTAATGTGCAGTCATGAACTCCTCGCAGGCTGGACATCCGCCTATTCATAAATACAAAATTTGTATAAATTTCATTGATGGTATTCACGACTAGTTCGAATCCATTGCAACGTGAACAAACCAAACATTTCGTACGTTTCAATTGGCTTGAAAATTCATTTACGAACTTGAAGTAGTATCTGTTTGCCAATTTATTTTCAAAATTATGTTGCAATGCGAACTCATAGTGAATTATTATGTTTTGATTTTATGCCAAAATTTTGAAAGTTGTCCACCCACCAGATTTCCATTCCGTCCAGAACCATTCGTTTTTAAAGGCAGGCACGCTGTAGACCCCCCAATGGATAAAAATGCCAATTTTCGCCTCATCATACCAGGCCGGGATTGGGCGAGAATCTATGCTGGGCCAGTCGGGGGTGTAATTCTGGGTGTGGCAGTGGCTCAAAAATAGAGCACTTGTGACAATGAATAGGAATAACTTTGCCATTATGATGGCTCTTTTGCACAGCAAACAGCAACTATTGAGTTGAAGTGGACAATATTTAGTGAACTGGACTCAAGTTTACTTATATTTATGCACGTAATCGATTGATTGATATAATTTTTGTGTATTTATTTGGGAAAAACAACAAGATATCAGAGATTATTTTTGTGTAGTGAACAGTGGCCTGGATTATTGTGGATATTGTAGCAATTGGTATTCGCTATTATAATTGAGGTGTGTTTGTTAAGTTGTCAACTGGATATTTACCATTGATTAAATTAGCTTGTATAAATGTGTGTATTAATCTTTTTCCAGGTTAGTTGTGTTTTTCGACTACGTTGCAATTCACTTTTGCATAATTTACGGCGCTTGCATCTCAGAACGAGTTTGAGATTAAGTATGGAAAAATGCAATATCGGTGCACTTCTACTATGCAAATATGTAATAGAAATGTTCAAGGTTATGAGTTTGCACGTGTATGTATTTAATATTCAAATGTCAGTTTGTTACGACTTATTTATAAATCACGGGCTTGGTTGTGGGAAGATGCAATGCACAAAAGACCCTGCACTGGGTAAGAAAATACCAATGTAAAACATATTCATAAATACAAATATCATATTAGAAAACAACAGCGAGGAACCAAAATACTGGTAAATATGTACATATTCCTGAAAAATGACGACTTACAAAAATATGAAGTTATGAGCATATATTGATACATACGTACATACATGCACACCTACTTACCTAATGCGGTAGCAAACGATTTGCAGTGTGGCATCATTCTGTGAGTTATTTACTGTCCTTATGGTGCATACATACATATGTACATATGTATGTGCTGTACATATTTATAATTTCAGATAGGGACAATTTTGTATGGCGCTGGTCGTTTAGCCTTTTTCTAAATATAATAATGTACACATGCATCTCTGCGAATACAATTTATACAACAATGAATAAAGTAATACATGCTGTGCATATATGTAGGTCAGAATGTCACAAAACATACATTGGTATTTATGTAATTATGCAAATATTTGCAAGTTTATCGTAAATACTTTACTTTACACATACTTTATACATACTTTTGTCATATTGAACTTTTTAATTAAAATCATGTATGATGAGATGAATGCACGTAAATACATATGTACTTCTAATGCCTAAACAACTAGCCACACATATGGACAATGTACTTGTATGCATACCATAAATATGCATTCATATAAGACGGTGTCCATACCAAACCTTGAAGCCTTGGCAGCTGGATTTTTTATTTTTGAATTTCCATCAAAAATAAGTTACAGACCATGAAATTAGTGTAACAGGAGAAAAATTTTTACAAAAAGTTGCTACAACCCTCTGTAATGACCATACCCCGGACAAATATTTTTTTATCCTACCCTACTCATGTTGAGCTCAACACGAGTAGGGTAGGATAAAAAAATATTTGTCCGGGGTATGGTAATGACCGTTTTTGTGATTTAGAGTAGGGTTCGTAGTACGGCGATTTTATCGCCATTGTTTGACGTAGAAAGCTGAAATTTCGTATTCTACACCGTCTTGAATGTCCCCAGGCGGGACTTTTTCGTTTTAAGGTCTAATGTCGAAAATGACCTCAAAACCGGTCACTTTTCGACATGCACATTTTCCCATGGTTTTATACATATGGTGTCAAGTCTCACATAACCCCATAAATGGGGTATCGTGAGAAAGGTCTTGGCAAGTGGACTCAGAATATACTCTATATAGTTTGTGGGGTCTGCGACCACAATCTGATTTTCTAAAAATCAAAGAATGTTACGAGTTTTGGCATACAACATTTAACACAGCAGTAGATTGAGAGCCAACATAGCAAAAGACCGACGAAAACTCAACATTACTCATTGGCCTTTAACTAATCAGGGGGTGGTCCCAGACCCCACAAAGTATAATATTCTGAATCCACTTGCCGAGACCTTAATCACGATACCCCATTTATGGGGTTATGTGAGACTTGACACCATATGTATAAAACCATGGGAAAATGTGCATGTCGAAAAGTGACCGGTTTTGAGGTCATTTTCGACATTAGACCTTAAAACGAAAAAGTCCCGCCTGGGGACACTCAAGATGGTGTACAGTCTGAAGTTTCAACTTCCTAGCTCAAAAACTGTCGAAAAAATCGCCGTACTACGAACCCTACCCAACCTCACAATAATGGCCATAGCGGATGGTTGGGGGCAACTTTTTTTCAAAAATTGTCTTTTGTTACACTAATTTCATGGTCTGTGACCTATTTTTGATGGAAATTCAAAAATAAAAAATCCAGCTGCCAAGGCTTCAAGGTCTGGTATGGACACCGTCATAAATATTATGTATAATATACCATGCAGCACCACCTACATACAACATATATATGTATTCTTTGTATATGTGTGCAAATACATAAATTTATTTATGTAAATATGTACATAAATGACTTTGGTTGGTGATAGCATAGTAACTAACTGTTTAATAAGATATTTACCAAGATGGAAATACCCTGTTCGTGCACTTTCTCCACATCGATGCTGTCAACCTTGCCAAGTGCACATAAAATATGCATTACATATTTACTTACACGTCTACTTGCAGTCTGGCAGACTAATGCGTTCGTGATTTTTAGCCAATTCATTACACAAACAACATGCCACATTGGACAAGAACTTTCTTCAAGCACAGGTCAGTGTCACTTTGAGAGAAATACGTTTGTATGCGCAGAGAAAGTGGAGAAAGTGGATAATGGACAGTCTGTCCCGCACACTGGGATCCCTGCTCCATTTGCCAAATAAAGAAGAGTGAAAGTGGAGAAAGTGTCTCCAAACTGTTTTTCATCCGCTTCAAATATTTATTTACATAAACTGCTCCACTCACACTTTCTTTCCCAGGGCTGAGACATGGCTACTCTGGAATCATAAGCTTTACAAGATGGTCACAAACTATACGACTCAAGGGCAAGAAGAGACTGACCTGAATTTCTTTAAAATAATCGGTACAGTGATATACGTAACTTGTATTGCAATCAATGTCGTAATTCTGATTGTGATTTGTGGTGCGTGCAACAAGCGGAAAATCAGGTAAGTAGATAATTGGAATATTTTTGCACTGTTAAAAATCTGGACAAATATATACTCCGTACTGGTTTTGATCTGGTAATAACTTCCGACCGGATTGGTAGTATTTGTTTCTGAGTGGTAAAGTTTTAATTATCATAACATTACTACATAGATATACGGTATTGCGCATTATTACCAGTGCGGGTAGAGTAAAGTTATACATGCACTCCGGTCAGTAATGATTTGATATCAGTTTTCGAAGAGGGTAGGAAATCTGTAAAATTTAAGTATTAACGATTTTTCTTGGTTTACAGGGACATGACAATTTTGATTGGAAATTTATGCAGTGTCGTCACATACAGTGCGGTACTCTCTATTTTGTCAATTTTCGAATTCGATAAGAGATTGACCGTGGAATATCTCTGTAACGCAATATACATCCAGAGAGGTACATGGAGAAAGTCTCTGTTTACGCAAAAAATTAGTAAATAAGTTATTGTGGCAATTCATCGCATCTCATTTAGCAAATTTGCGAATCTCAAAAAATTTATGTCGTTAGGGGACTCGCAAAATATGACTTCGTAAATCTGACACATCTACGTATATACCTCAAAAACGCCTATTTCGTTGCAATTTGTTTGCGAAATAGTCTTGCGAAATAAAAATATGCCCAATTTTTTGATAAATTTACAAAAACAAGTCCCATAGTTTTCCAGCAAAAGTTTTGCGGAATCTGGCAAACTTCACAAAACGTGGCAAGTTTTGTTGCTGTACTCACTTTTCGAGATATGTGAAGGTTGATGTGAATATGCTCATTGTAAAATCCGTAAATTCTGTAAACTACAAACTCAAACATTCGTTCGTACAAACTTTTGCAAAATTTTACAAATATTTCTTAGGAAAATTAGCTTCCAAATTTTTGTAAACTTGCTCAAATTAAGGGTTTCTGTTTGCTTTGTAAAAGTTTGTAAAATAATTTTACAGAACTTTCAGATTTTACAAGCTACCAAGTACTACATATGTGAATTACCTTATTGATTTACTTGTTCAAACCTTAAATTGTAGCGATGGCCTTGAACCTGCTCCCCTTAACGATTCTCTCCATAAGTTACGAACGGATGAGAAAATTGAAGCCAAGCTTTCCCAAAATAAAGATCGCAAAGATGCTGCTCGCAATATGGAGTGTGGCCGTGCTTGCAGCCCTGCCTGCACTTTGGACCATGGAGTACGACTCGGAGAAAGCTCAGTGCGTCAAAGTTGGTGAAAGTTTCTTAATTCTTTTGAAGATTGGAAATTTAACGACTTTCTCCACTTTTTTTGCATATTTATGTAGGTGTCTTCTTTACATAGAGTGGTTTACCAAGTATTGAGATGTGTCGTGTTCCATTTCGTGGTGGCAAGTCTACTCGTGCTTGGTATGATTGATAAATAAATCATTAATCATTAATATTCTACACTGATGTCAGGAATTATCCATCATTGGACAAGCTTATCGTTCAAATGTATATTTCTTAAAAAGTACAGTAGATATTCAAATACTTTTTTTTGTCACTAGTAGACCAACCAATTGGTAGTACAATGTCACGTAATCAGGTCTCAAAAAAATTTCAATATGGGGTAAAAATAAATTATCTCGCGGGCATTCAAAATCAACGTGTCATAAAATATCCATCTTTTTTGCTCCTCAGCTGAAAAAAAGAATAATTTGTTTTGGTAAGTTCTTTCTTTAATTTATTTTTGTTCTTAGATCATTTTCTTACGATTAACGAAGAAAACTTGTACAAAATAGGCTATGGGGAAGAAGGTCAAGGAGACGCCATTTGCAATTCGCGAACTGGTAATCAAGCACCATCAGGGCGATGCCAATGGGAAGAAAACCCAACAAGAAATTGCAAATTTGCTTAAAATACCTCGTTCAACAGTTCAGTATATAATTCGGAAGCACAAATTATGTGGACTAATTGTAAACAAGCAAGGAAGAGGTCGAAAGCCAATATTCTCTAAGAGAGAAAAAAGTGCCATTATCAAGAAAGTGAAGGTCAACCCAAAATTGACAATTTCTAAGATCAGAGATCAAGTTGCAAATGAAACTGGAAAACTAACCTGTCGTAACACAATCATTAAAGTAATCAAGTCTGAAGGATTTAAGAGTTGCAGAGCCAGGAAGAAGCCACTCATTTCAAAGGTCAACCAGAAGAAACGGATTGCGTTTGCAAAGGAGCATGTGAATAAGCCCCAAAGTTTTTGGAATTCGATCTTGTGGTCTGATGAAAGCAAATACAACTTATTTGGGTCGGATGGACGTGCCAGAGTTTGGAGAAAATCAGACGAGGCTCTAAAATTGAAGAACCTCAACCCCACCGTAAAACACGGCGGTGGAAGCGTTATGGTTTGGGGCTGCTTTAGCTACGCAGGGACTGGAGGTCACGAATTCTTAAACGGGACTATGGACCAACACGTGTACCAGGGTATATTGTCCCGTAATATAAAGCAATCTGTAGCAAGACTTGGTCTTGGGCGCCGCTACACGTTCCAACAAGATCGTGATCCCAAACACACTGCGAAGACTACATGGGAATTCTTCAAGAAAAACAAGATAAAAGTGTTGGAATGGCCCCCCAAAGTCCGGATCTGAATCCAATTGAGCATTTGTGGGACCATATCGAAAGACGGATCAGAAACTATTATATTTCAAACAAACAGGACCTAAAAAATGCAATTTCGGATGCATTCGAAACTGTGACCCCGGAAGTGACAAAGACTCTCGTCGAATCGATGGGTCGCCGCTGTCAAGCAGTAATATCTGCTCAGGGTGGGCCAACACGTTACTAAAAATTACTTTTACCGATCATTTATTACAAGATTGTTAAAAATACGAAGTTAAATAAAAATGATGGATAATTTCTGACATCCGAATTTTGAAAGCTCGCGGTAGAAGACATTATTTCCCCATATTGAAATTTTTTTGAGACCTGATTACGTGACATTGTACTACCAATTGGTTGGTCTACTAGTGACAAAAAAAAGTATTTGAATATCTACTGTACTTTTTAAGAAATATACATTTGAACGATAAGCTTGTCCAATGATGGATAATTCCTGACATCAGTGTATGTCATTAATAAATAAATAGATAGACACACTGTCAACTGTTAGAAATCTGGTATTGATTTTTTGGTGTTAAATTTGCTAATGCACATGCCATCGTTTCTTAAGAATCTTCTTGAATCCTGCACTAAAAAATCAAGTAAATAATTAAACAGAAACAACATTTAGTGTGACACTTGAGTACATACTGCTGCAGAATTCGCGGATTTAGGGAGGTTTTAAGTTGGCAAAACACGAATTTTCACCGTGCAACTATGTAAACGTAGATATATAAAAATTTTCATGCCGACCTATTGTTTATCATACCGCATTACTTATCTATACCACTTTGACAGAATGTGCATCATGCATTTTTTACATGATAAAACAATTTTTTCTTCTTTCAGAGCTATACAAAGTGCGATCAAAATTTAAATACTTTTATAGCGTTAGGGTAAGTATAACAAATTATAATCACAAAAATTTAAATTACAAACCTAAAAAAAGAAATAAATTTTATATTTTTTTGTTTAAACCAGACCATCCACTCAGACAAAATCCGAAGGAAAGTACAACGTGTCCGATTTCTCTACTGCAACTCGATCATGTTCATCTGTTACTGGGTTCCGTTAGGAATCTGCACCATTTTTTATGAAGTGACCCGAAAACCGAGCACTCGACTACATGCTGAATATCCAAACGCGGTGTATGTTGTGTCCATCCTGTTTTTCATGTACGTCATGTGCCTTCCGCTCATATTACTGTGGACGAGTGATTTGTTAACGAGACGGGAAAAATCAGTCAACACCATGAGGACGAAAATGGCTGTGATAAATTCGGATTTTAGCCGGTGTAGTACGCAAGGATTGGCATGTGCTATTCCGAGCATTATTGTAACCACGGAGGGTGAATTGATGCAAGGTGACACTCAACAAGTGGAGGTTGAGGTTTACGTATAAATTATACTGTTAGTGACTGCATAGTGTTAAACTGGGGATATTTTTAGTAATTTTAATTTTGGAATCGATAGAATATTTGCAGTTTGTGTAAAACTTGACAATCTAAGAGAACATGCGTACATAAAATTTTACTATTCTAAGTTGTGTTTTATGCGGAGAAAGTTTTTAAAATTTAAGCATAATGCATTTTGTAGAAATTTTAGAAATTTTGTTAGAATTTATAAATTTTGCAAATTTTACATGATGGTGCATTATGTACTTAATTGTGTATTCATACATTTGCAGTGCAAATTTTTCACTACATGTATCACCGCACAGTTTTTAATGGGATTGAATTTTCATGAAATGCACTTTACGTAAAATTAGTATTCGAAGTTCATTCATGATATTCTGGGTGCTATATAAGTTTCATATTGTAAGAGGGCTTACTGTACAAACATAAGGCGAGACATAGTTACCTATATGTAAATATGATGGAAGAGTAAGACCATATTAAAAGTGACACTTTCACCCATCTGGAAAAGACAACTGCTCAAGTACTTGATCAAATTATGTATGCATGAAATCACTTTCTTAGATTAGAAACAAACCTTCATATTTACATAGATATTGTATCTGTAGAAGTACAAAAGAAGAAATTGAAATGTGTGGTAAAATTTACTCATTGAATCACTCTTACTTTCTTAATAATTAAGAAAAGAAACATTTATATTTTTATAATTAATTATAGTTAGGCTTAGGTAAATACCTTTAGTGAATAACTTTTGATATTTTGCATTTTTGATGTACTTACATACATTGATAAGTTGTGCCGGTCGAATGTGAAGCGTAATATTTGGGCAAGTTTCTCTACTATGATTTGGATGTATGTAAGTGTCATTATAAGTATTATAAGATTTATGCTCGTACGCTGCGTTAAATGAGAAGGCTATTCAATGGTCTTTGTCTGGATTGTGGTACATAATGATGCTATTAAATACGATGCTTTCATGCAAATCAGATTTTTCATGCAATTTATTACATACCTAAACTCATGTTTTGCGTGTTTCCTACATAAATACAATTTTGGTAAATGCAGATGTTTGTTTCGCCTATTTAAAAAATATAATCATTAGTCCAATTTATGCCTCTACCATATAACTGACATTCATCTTGAGCATTGGAGCTACCCGTGCAATTAGGGGTTACTACTCGAGCACAATTGCATTGTGCTCCAGTACCGGAGAAACATTGCATACAGGATCAGAAAAATTATCAAAATAAGAGGAAGTTTTTTAGAGATTTTTAATACGACACTTTTCGTGGTTTAATACCCGTAAGAGGTATGTACAAATAGGTACAAAAGGGGGTCACTTTTCATGCACTCATGTAAATACGTAATACTAGAACATATCCGAGGGTATCAAAATCTCTTACTGTAGACGACACAACCTCTCCTAACTACTGCATATATTTAATTCGTACATATAAATATCCAAATGTACTTTTGCATGTATCTGCATATTTCACTTCGCTCAAGGTAACTAACTGGTCACATGCATTTGTATCGGCATTACATTTTCCAGTCAATTCCGTACATGTCAACTGCAGATACGCTCATAGTTTCATTTTTCTGTCCCTGATTCCAAGGCAATTAATGTTGACGAGAGGTTAAATGTTACACGTGTCGTACGATAAGAACTAAATTGTTGTGTACTGTACATGGGGCTATGTACATACGTACATACATACGTACATATTTTTCACATGCTCAGAATCCACCTTAATATGTTGAGTCGTTAATAATATCTGTTTTAATAACATACTAAAAATATGAATAAATGAACTCTGTAAAGTTTGTTCCATCATGCAATCAAAACTGCGCAGACCAAGTTACATACATGCATACATAAACGATATTCATAAAAAAATTACATCTTCATGTAATTACTCGACGCTTTAGCCTTCCTGCAGTTGAAGCTATGAATGTACGGAGTAAGTAACAGCAAAAATTATTTTAACTCCAACCAGCTAAATTTACCATACGAAACTAGATAACTTAAACAATTATAAATAATTATCGCTATATATTTACTGGTTTGCGATATAATAGATTTGTACTAGCAAACATATTTTGATTCAAATACCTACATACATAATCTGTAAGTGTATATATAATAAAAGTATCATGGATGACGTGTCTGATTTAGTAATGCAACAAATTTCAGAGGTAAGGCACGCTTTATGTGTATAAATCTTGTAGCAATTAAGACGACGGTCATCAATTTAGTACGCTTAGTAAAGTGCAAATTTTTATTTACTCATTTTCAGTTGAGGACCCGGTTGGGTGATAAAATTCAAGATCTCGATGACAAATACATCTTACGATTTCTTATAGGTAATTTAGAGCACATTTCACACTTGCAAGTTGTATGAAAATGAAACATCTCCTGAAATTACTGATAAATAATTCATGACAAACAAATATTTATGAGATACATATTTGTGGTTGTTGTTGCTTATTAATAAGAAAAATATTTCTTGCCAGCTAGAGACCATGACATTGCAAAAGCAGAAGAAATGCTTAGAAATGTGAGATTTTGAAATATTATATTTGCATTTGCATACATATATATGTATGTAAATAATGTGTTGTTCCGTACGTATGTTTTTATTTTTATGTTATTCACAGCATGTCGAATGGAAGGAGAGGATTGAATATGACCAGGCACACACTTGGATAATTGATGACGTTGTACAAGATTCGTTTCAATTCTGCGTTGACGGAAAAGATAAGGAAGGACGCCTTGGTAATTAAACATACATACACATGAATAAATCCCACCAACAGATATAATAAAATCGTCGCGTGATATGCATAATTTGCTACAAAACGCGAAAATTTTACCTAAGACGTCATTGCTACGGTCGCCAGGTCCACGTTTATAGAAATAAAGCGAAAGTCTAAATTCCCTTTTCTATTTGCAAAACCGTCAACTAAAACTTCGACGTTTCTGATCCGTTGATCCCATCACATGTCGGTGATTTTTAGACCAAATTCAGTTCACGAAATACCTATTACGTTTAAAACTAAATGTCGATATTTGAAAATAGAACTAAAAAAACAATGATTCTTTAGGGATTTATCATGCTGACAGACAAGTTGATTCGCAATAACTGCATACGCTTCACTTCGTCCCCTCACCGGAAGGAAGTGAAGCGTAGTGCTGGTAGATTCGATTTGATCCGATCCGGGTGGGATCCATGTCAGCGGACGTATAATCCTTTAGGATCGGATCATACCAGATTATCAACAAGTTCACAATCACATGTATCAAAAAGGTATAGGTAAAGGTCAACAGGTGAAATAAATTATATAAATTTATTTCAGTCGTATATTGCCCAGTTGGAGCTTGGCATGGGAGACGAATGCTTGAAGCAGGTCTGGGAAAAGAACTGGACCGTCATTTGTACCACATGGCCGCGTGCATGGCCTCTGCTCTCGCAAAATCCAATGGCGATAAATTAGTCGGAATTTTGGACCTGGCGGAATTGTCCTATTATAAGATTGCCCACTACGACAGTAAGTTTAACAGTATTTATGTATATGAATATAAAAACTGCTTAATGACATTAATTATTATGGAAAAGCTGTGCAGCTAACTCTTCGCATGTTAAGAGAACGTGAACAAAACTTTCCGGAAACGTTGGAGGCTGTAATCATAATTAATTGTATGTAAATCCACTATTTAAAGGGTGGCCCAAATGTATCTCCCGACCTTTTCTTTCAAAAGAATAAGACCCTATTTTTCAAAACCATGTAACTTGGCGAACCCAATTATATTTCCTCACATACCTTAGTATTTGGCCTTTCAACAATTCACCCTAACAATTTCCTCATCGCTTTTGTTGAAACTCTATGATGATCTTTCCAAAGTCATTTTTTGTCTGAAATTACGTTTTTCTTGAACTTTCGTTGTTATCTCTGCTGTCGAGCATGGTTCTGGATCCATGTACATATCCTAGTTATGTATTACCCATTGGTTATCCAAAACACCCATATCAGGATTTTTAGTAGACCACACCCCCTTGCCCCAAACCGTTTTACCCTGCCCTTCATTTAGCTCCATGGTCATTTTTGAAGCGTGACTTGCAGCACCATCCTGCAGGAAAAGTACTGACAAACATTTGGAAAAAATTCCTTGTTTCTCATGCTATCAAAGTATTTAGGTTGCATTTTCGCTATAAAATTCTTTACCTTGATATGTGCCATACTTGTATACTATGAAAGGTTTTTACGCCACGCACAAAAAAACACCCATAACCATAACTTTCGATACCAATTGTAACACAAGTATGGGCGGTACATCCGATCTTTTTGCGGTTTTGTATCTCATATTTTGTAGGTTGAATTTTACATACAGCGTTATTCGGGATTCAATGATCCAGGAGAAATGACGCCATGGTTCTTGACCTTGTATTTTTTAACCAAAATCGCCACTTTTTTGAAGTATTTCTCCAAATTTAAGACTGTAATTAATGTTCTATGGAGATAGTAAAGGTTTCCTGATTAGTTTATAAGTTGTCTGACTAGAATTCGTTGATTTTGCAACCTTCTACATTGTAGTATCGTAAATTTACTTGTTAATAATTTTCAAGCAATTTGAGTCACTTCGTTCTTTTGAATAAGTAAGTACCGAACTTCGGTTTTTGGGTAAATCTTGAGCTTAATTGTTGTTTTTCGGGTAGGTGACATCTTTCCACATTGGTCAGGCCGCTTTTTGTATTTCACAAAATTTTGGCTGCTGCGTAGCCTTACCATTTTCCCGCCATATAACAATTTCTCCCAATTTTGGTTTATTTTATATTGCTGCGTAACCGAAATTTTTGTCTGAATTCTATGAGAGTCACGATCGACCTTCCATCTTGGACTACTTATGGTGAAATTTTCAAAATAAAACATTCACTGGTTCAGGAATTACAGCCGATTTTATCTTAAACTTTTGCGAAAAAATGGCTCGGGAGATACATTTGGGCCACCCTTTAGTTTTAAAGGTGACCTTTGTTTCTTCGTGATTTATAATTTTTAATATTTTTGCAGCCCCGTGGGTTTTGGATGTCATATTCCCTCTTATAAAACCAATTTTGGGTCGAAGTACACTCCAAAAATTGGAAATATATAACAGCTCACCGCATAAGTGGATGCCCGTGTTGCTAGATCGGATTCAAGGAGGAAAATTTCCATCCATGTTCCTTAAGAAGTATGGAGATGAAGTGAAAAAATATCGCTGATGTTGTAATTTTGCATGCATGTATGAATAAATGCACACACAATATTTGCACATGCAATTTTTTTTACGGTACAGTAACGATAATTACACAATTATCTATTAGGGGATGAAAAGTCGAATTAAATGCTTCGATTTAATTAATTATTTATTCTAACTGGTGAATTTAGCCGTAAATAATTAATCTATTTGATGAAGTAGCTCTCTGAGAATTCATGTCAATATAATTTAAGCCATCGTTCCGAAAATTTACAAGCCACCAGTACATGTATTTATGTACATGGGTATTGTTGATTCTGTAGGCTTCTTGATGAAAATACAAGTGCATGAATAGACCGTGGCAAGCTTTTGTTCGAAACGAAACATGGACCGAATCAGCAGTAGATATTTTACGAGGCCTTTTAAGCATGCATGCATGTACATCATAAGCAGACGTCGGATATTTATTTATTTATGACTTTTTCAATTAGCGCCCGATGTTTTTCAAACTTGGCAGGGACCTTAATGGTCATGAGTAGGTCACGCTGTCGAAGAAATTTTTTCAATACTTTTCAATATTTCGTGGTTTTAGAAAATATAAATATTTACCTAAATTTTTCGACCTTTTTTTAAAAAAATATTTTTTTTATCGGAAAATCATGGTTATTTTAAACTTTTGGGAAATTTTACATAAAAAATTTCATTTTTGGAGTTTATAAATTTTTTAGTAACTTTTAATTCAGACTTCAAGACTTCAAGACAGGGTATTCCGACCCAGGGTTTTATTGGGTTGGGGTTTTTGGGTTTTAATGGGTTTTAATGGGTTGTTAATGAATAAAACCCATTGAGTTTTACCATGTTAAATGGGTTTTATTTGGGTTTTAATGGGTTTTATTCGGGTTTTAATGGGTTTTAACTGTGTTTCAGCTTAAAACTATATTCTAAAAGCTGAAAACAGCTGTCATACGTTAGACGAAGTTGATGGTAGCTGAGCAGTTTATTTGATTAATACTGTAAGTTTTGAAAACCAGGAATAAATCAGCGAGTGCCATTACAGGTTTCAAGTGACAAAAAATATAAAAATAATAATTTCGGAACGAGGTATGTTTAACTGAGCATACATAATTTAATTACATTTAATTTACATTTTGCTGTCATAATTAATACTTTTTCCCGAATACTTCCTCTCATCTCAGCGAATAAATTAAACAAAATACTATATTATTTTTTTAATTTATAAAGTTTTTTAAAATGTTTCAAGGCGATCTTAATTATCACCTCTGGAAAAATCGAGTACTTATGGACAGCGAAGTACTTTATTATGAGCAAAAGAAGTGTGTCTGTAAAAAGCACTTATTATATTCTCGATCATAATACATACGTACTTTCATTGTTCATACTCGATTAGTACTCGATTTTTTCCAGAATTGATAATACACGTTAAGATCGCATTGAAATATTAAAGTTTAAAAACTTTTAAACAACTTGGATTTCATTATGATGAGAGGAAGTATTCGAGATATATTCTCATAAAGTATTAAACTATGATCAGTTAAACAGGACTATTTCGAAACGGATACAAATTCTAACATGGACAAGTAGGATTTGCATATTAATTGAAATTGGATTGCAATAGTAGTGAAAATTGTTGTTCAATGTGTTACTTATGTAAAACCTAATAAAACCCAATAAAACCCATAAAACCCATTAAAACCCAAAAAACCCATTAAAACCCATTAAAACCCCTGGGTCGTTACTTTTTGATTAAAACCCTGGGTTTTTCCGAACCCTGCTTCAAGACTTCCGACTTTTAATTCATGCTCGTCGAAAACTACTTGGAAGAAAAGCTTCACTACTTGTCAAGAACAAAATTCGATGCCCTTTGGAGTTTTCGTACACTCGTAGTCGTAGAATACTGCAACATTCCAAAGGGTATTAAAATCGGTTGTTGCCAAGAAGTGAACCTTCCTCCTGATAACCAGAGGGTTACCTACAACGATTTTTAAATTGGTTAGAAAAAGCTGAAATTTGGTATCAATGTCCAAGGTGTGTCAAATTTTCAAGACGCTAAACAAAAATTTGATGCAAATACATACACATGTACATACATCTGTATGGGTACATATACCATTCCATAATGGAATTTCCATTGACTATTTCGCAGATTTAGCGTGTTAAAGCTTTAATATCACCCATTTATAATGCAAAAATGTTTGAAATGCAATTTGAGCTATAAAAATTTGGATATTGAGCCCAAAATCTGAATTTATAAAAAAATATAAGAAAATATTTTCGGGTTTTGAATGAAAATATAAAATAAATTTTTTAGAGGTTGATAGTAAATAAATAACCGACGTCTGATCATAAGTAGCGCATAATATTTACTCCCAAAGTTCGGTCTGCATCATGCTTTGAATTTTGTATTTGTATTATGATTTTCAGACACAAATATAATATGTGCCATGGGTCGAAAAACAGTCCTCTCAAATTTTCGCTGCAAAACATTTATTTTGCAACTATTTAGGAATTGAAACAAGACAATATTCAGCCAGAAAATACTGAGGGTGCATCATATTATTTCATAACAAAAGTAGCATTCGACGAATTTGTATAATTACCTTGTTTAAAATGTTCCATGGCGTTTTCCTGCATTTGTGTAAATAAATGCAAATGTTTTAGGAGACCTCATAGATGTACTTATAGTAAATAAAAACTTATATCAAATTTCGAAAGATTCGTTGCTCAATTTGCGAGATAAGCAAAGTTCACGTGAGAATTTTCATATGCTCTCTGAAAATGTTGTTCGCATGTCATCATCGAAAGAGTATTTATTAGTCCTGGACATACATACCTGAATAGCGCAGAATTTTCATTCCAAAACTATATAATACCTCAGTCCATGAAGAGTTGTATGAAACACCCTCTGCATATTATACCAATCAATTACAAACAATATTTACTTATCCAAACTAACTCTACACAAAACAATTTCAAATCATTATATGTAACTATCCAGACAGTAAACTAACTCTACTTGACAACAACCCGTCATTCTCCACGCTCTCTAAATTAAATATGTATGTATCACACGAACTTGAAGAATCAATTTATATGGCAAATACCTACATAAACTCGTGGAATTCAAACTTGAATAAAGTCATATTTACACCAGTCTTGTATCCCCACTTGGCGAAATGGTATCCGAAATTATACTCCCCCATTTAACGCGTCACTTTTCCATCGCCCACGTAAACCACTGTCTATTCTATGAGTGGAATCCCAAAAAGAATCGCGTCACCAAATCTGGCCAGTTTGACAGGAAATGGTCTCGGATAATGCTTCTCATAAGCTGGGGATACGTCCTCCTGCAAATTATAGGCTTATCCATCTCTTCAACGACCCCAGCAGAAAAAATATTCCCGGCAACCTTAACCTATTTGTATATCGCATGCAGTGTTACGGGTCTTGTGTGGAGTGCGGATCCTGCCAATGTTCAATTGATGAATATCATTTATGCGTCAAGGGAGGGGTCACCAGAAGGTGAGAAAAAATGAAGCTAAGTATGCACGCAGTCGTTTGTAACTTGTAAAATCCGTCAAATTTCTAAAATAAGTTTACAAGCTTTTATAAACATTAAATATGCAAACCAATTCTCATTAGAAATATAAGTTTACAGATTTTACGGATTTTACAACGTTGCGTATATTGCACTAATGTAATACTTTTTTACGAACTAATTGGCAAGAAGTTCTTTAACTTTGTGTATTGTTAGACTGTTGCGGGAATGGTAAAATTGTGGCTACAATTATCAACCTGACTTACGCACTAGTAAATTTCACCGCTTATGTGGCATTTCCACCGGCCATAGTGGTCATGTTGGTCATCCTCCCATGTCAAGCACCACTATTGGGATCCCTCCTCCTTTCCGGGGACGAATGTTCAAGACCTTTATTCCAATCCGAGTTCGGAGTAATGTGCATCTTCCGAATTGTACTAATTCTAGTGGAATTTATTCAAATATGCCGCCACATGGTGATCGTTGCACACTACCCTATCTATGTGCTGATCGCGGGAATTCTCTATTTTTGGGAGGAAACTACATAAATTGTCTGTACATAAATATGTACATAAGCATCTACATATTTACGAAGTTTGCTTTTTCATGCGTAATGCGCAATTGTAATCAAATTATTTGCAATGTAAGCTTAAATATTCATAATCCCCGTAATAAACAAAGTGTATAATAGGTTGTGTTTACATGGGAATTTCTTTTAACAAACCATTTGATGTGCTTAACGCATACTTAAAATTTTAATATATATGCACATATAACCCTAAAAAATTCAGACTTCTTGTTCTTTGACAAAAGGAAGTTAAAGATTCTTTTATCACTGATAATTTCATTAATACGCAGAAAACCTAAACTTCAGAGATGTCCTTTAATGTTAGTCTTAAGCAATAAATATCACAAACAATTTAGCCATCCGGATTCGGAAATTTATGCTCTGCATATAAACTTTCTATGTATGCATACATTCCAGCGAATCTACCGAGGTGAAGACTTGTGGTTTTCCATATTTTTCAAGATTTTGAGAATGGACATCGCGTCGATTGGTTGCCACTCCAACTTCGCTTTTGAGGTCATCAGGTTTGATTTTGTTTGTGCTACAGCACGTGCAGGCCATAAATATGCAATAAATCAATTACATGCAATTCTCACTTTGGTAATTTTACAAACATAACAGCAAGTTACATGCTGAATGTAATGCGTCATTCAACTTATGCAACATGATTCATCAATTGTATTTCAATTGTTTCATTGTTTTAAAAATTTCTCCCAAAACGATTTAAGAAATTTACAAAAAATTGAGAAGGTCACCTTGTAGAGTTAATGCAATGGACCTCACAACCTCATCAGTCGTCACTTAAGCCAAGGAGTAAACATGTCTCATCTCGCGTGTCTTCTTACCATCGTAATAAATACAAACTTTCTATTTTGTTTTCATAATTATGACATAAGTATTTATTTACAAATTTCTATAAAATTCTTTCATAATGTCAACTTGTAGTTTGTTGCCCTCTCAATCGTCGCCATCCAGGCCGACCACGAAGCCCAGTTGAGAGCAGGCTATGACAAAATGAAGTGCCATAAAGGATTCGTAGGCAAATTCAGCCCCTTGATGGAAACGACGGTCAAAAATTGCAATGCGAAGTCCATTTCGAGCTATTTCGTAAATAAAATTGATAATTAAATTACCTAGTTTTAATGCAAAAGTTTAACGAGGAAATTCATGTTACAGTCCTTCGTAACTTTGTAAATCCCGTAAACTTGCAAACTTTTACAAAATTTTATAAATATTTCTGAAGAAAATTAACTTTTGTAAACTTACTCAGGGTCAAAGGCGTCTTTTTGTTTTGTAAAAATTTGTAAAATTATTTTTGCAAAACTTGCGGATTTTACAAATTACCAATGATCTAAATATATGTATTGCAAATTGTACAAAATTATAAACTAGGAATAAGAGTCAGGTTACAGACAGTACCCAAATCTTATTTAGAAAATTACGAATTTGCAGTGATAAAAGGTCTCTCTATATATTTCGTACAAGTTGGCAAAGCAATTCATTTTGCAGGAAATTTGCACAGTTTACTCGGTTACAAAAGTTCGCGTGAATTTCTGAAAGCCATGTTTTACTACCAATTTTTTTTCATCTAGTGTTACGCCGCATGCTGGGAGACAGGAATTCTCTGCTACACAAACGGGGCCTTCAATGATACTGCGCGTCATATCGATTTAATGGATTTGTTCGACCCCAAGGAGCCCGAGTCAAAGAAAACCGTCGATGGCTGGGTGAAGGAAGCCACAATTTGCGAAAATGCTGGTAAAATGGGACATATTTTTTTTAACTATATGCTAATTTTCCTAAAATTTTAATATTTTTTTCTTCAGCAATTAAAAGCGGGCTAAAAGTTACAGACGATTACTCCGGTGAATGTAAGGATTACGAAGAACTGGGGAAATGCGTGTGGAAACCAAGGGTAAGATTTGAATTGTTATTATTTACTTCATTGTGGACACTTTAATTATGAATTTATCTTAATGACAGAAATGCCCTTGAGTAATCAAAACAGCTTCTAAAATATTTTGACCTTCTAACCACGGAAATCTATTAACTTGAGGATAAATACAAGCATATTTTGTGGATTTACTTAATACTGACAAATATTAATATTAAGACAAAAATTTGAACTTCATAATAGAAAATCCATAACAATTAATTTCATGTTTGTATTACTATTAGCCAATTTGTTGTAATTTGAGTTTATGAAATTAGTAGATTAAATAAAGCAAATTTATTGGATATGATTATCCTAGCGTCGAGGTTCCTTTGAAAAATAAGAGGGAACACTTCATTAAAACAAGTTGATATCAATTTAGTTAAGGGACAACAAGTTTAATTTTAATTTATTTTACTTTAAAGATTACCAATTCACCATTTGTATTATTTCATTACCACAACATTATTAAATAAATGGTAATGCCCGTTATTACCGTGCCGGTAGAGTCATATATATAAATAAATATGTAGGTACAGATATCTGTATGTACTCTGGTCAGTAATTATCGAATATCATTTTTCTAAGAGTGTATTACTTAATTAATTTCCATGCATTTTTTAAGATTGTGTTATCTTTGAGTATAAAGCACAAAAACTTACAAATTAAATATCAGTAAGAAAAAAATGAATTAATTAGTGCATTTTTAGTCCCATAATTTAGTAAAGAATACAAAAGTTGAAAATTCTCGAGTAGTTTATCACATTACTTATAAATCCGGGGAAAGAATTTCGACACATTTGGAAAAAAATTCAAAATTTCTTCCCTCATATCATCTTGCAGCTTCTCCTCCATTTCATCGTAGCAAATGTGCGTCAGTGAGGGAAATCTGCCCTTGTGTTGGTTGGGGTCACTTAAAAGTATTTCCTTTATCAAAGCAACGCTTATCTCGAGGCGCCACAACTTCTTGAAAACTCCTGCAGAAGGTTTGATAACCACGTCAACATCATCTATCTCCATGTTTTTCCATACATCTAAAAATTAAATTAACAAGTAAATTTACGATCCAACCATTAATACATAAATGCAGATACAATTGTTTATTAATCGAAAAATAAAAGTACCAAACTTCTCCAAGTTTTCCATTACGGGGATCTTCAGCTTGCCTTCCTCGTCGTCGTCGTTGTCATCCCAATAGTCGTTTCCCAAAAATAACTGAAGCTTGGTCAAGGCCGAGGATTTCTTAAAATTCTCCAAGATTTCTTCCACTTCTTCTACATTCACCCTGGTTACGCTCAATGAGATTATGTGTAATCCCACAAAATTCCGGTGCAAACGATTAAAAACTTGGGTGCCATACTCAAAAGAGGACGAAGGTCTGAAGGACAGCTCGTTCATCTTTTCCATCCGTCCGGGAATCTTTGCTAACTCCTCCAAAAATAATTTGGCGGTTAAGGACTGTACCCCTTGGGTTACCCCATTTCCGTCGAATGTTTCCAAATTCTGAGAAGCGGAAATAAGCCGGTTTAAAAATATCCTGATTCTTTCTTGTCCATCATTGTCCATCTCATCCATAGAGAACGAAAGCTTCAAGTTTGGCAGCTGGAATGTGTCGTCGAACGGCAGGGCCGCGACAAAATTTGTGTCGCAATGGTAAACGTTTTTAAAGTAGATTTCCAATTCGTCCAAATTCACGGCCAGCGATAAAAGTTTCCTCATTTTTGCGAAGAAAGGCCTGTAATATTTTAAATCAATTTATGAGTACTTTAATTTATAACTTCGGGTTTAAATATTTAAATATTTTACTTTGTAGTTTCCACGTGAATATCTAGAAATCGAACTTTGTCCCCACCAATTCTCCTAATTATTTCGAAGCCAATGTTGGGACAGCGTTTTGGGGTTGAAGGAATTGATGAAAGATAATCTTTGGGAGTGCCGATCGACATTCCGACGATGGACCTATTCGGGATTCTTCCTCCCTTCTTGAATGATTCAAAGTACGATTGGTAATTCTCGCTCCACAAATCGATTTTTGACTTCTTGTCGAGCAGTTTAACCGCTTCCGAGTAAAATGTAAAGCTTGTGCTGGCAACCCGCTTCAAATCCTTGACCGTCAGATTATCCAGAATTAGTTTGACAAGCTTGAAAAAAAACATACAAAATTTAATAGTTTAAGGTTTTTTTATTTCGTGCAAATTGAATTAATAGTTTTACCAAAGAGTTGGATACAACGATTTGTTCCGCGGTGGCATTAACGATTTGGACCTCGTCGCTAACTTCCTCGGTCACACCCTCTCCTCTTTCTGTCGTCATATTTCGAGTTCAAATTTATTTGGTTAAGGAAATGAGAATGAGTTGTTGAAAATTTTAATGTTTGACTTGAATGTTGTTTACTTTGGATTTTAAATTTCCCGCAAAGGAAGTCTCAAATTATGCAAAACAATTTTTTTTAAACGACACGGATGATTTTTCTTTTAATTTTAAAACTTTTAAAGTTTTAAAGTAAAACGGAAAATACAAACGTTAAAAAAACTATGTTTTTAAAATGAAATTAGTAAAAAATTACCATTTATTTGCACTTATATCCTACGCTGCCCCTTCAACAGAGGCGGATTTCTGCACCACGCAGTTCGTCATTCTCTTCATCAGCATACCCCGGCCAAATATTTTTTTATCCTACCCTACTCGTGTTGAGCTCAACATGAGTAGGGTAGGATAAAAAAATATTTGTCCGGGGTATGTTCATCAGCCGCTTTGCACTTCTCTGTCCATTCTCGGAAATTAATTTTTGAAAAGTGTCACCTGTGTAGAAATTTAAAAATAGGTAAGGAATTTCACTTTTTCATGTATTCTTGACCTTAAAGTTTACCTTGCTTCGAAAAAATCTCTCCTTCCATGAATATTTCACATTTTGTATTACTTGAATTATTCAAGTAATTAATTTAGTTGTGTGAATTTTCACCGTAAAATACTGCGCCACCACAATTTAACTACTTTACATGATGTATATTCAATTGAAGTTACATTCCCGGTAATAATTTGTGGATTGTTTTGTTTTGTATTTTTCCAGGTTGACTAGAAAACCTTTAATTCAAGTTTATAAAACTACCATGCTGAGCTTTATGAGTGGACGAACCGCTGTTATTGGAGCCGCTATCGGTGGACTCATTGCTGTGGGATGCTTATACTTTGACCACCGTCGACGGTCGGACCCCAACTTCAAAAACAAACTTCGAGAGCGTGAGTCCATAAAAATTTATTTATTTATGATTCTACTATTAAGTAAATGTGTCGTCATTATATTAATAATTTGTTAAAAAATGTTCATAATCAGGAAGGAGGAAACTTCGATTGGCGATGGTGCCGTTGGATGAAATCCCCGAGTTTCATAGTCAGGACGAAGTGCGAACGTATTTCTCCCAGGAGGTTCAAATGGGGCACGCTTTTCTTGATGGGGGGCAGATTCAGGAAGCCATCCTACATTTTGGACGAGCACTCTCCGTCTATCACGAGCCTCAACAACTCCTCTCAATTTGGAACCAAACTTTACCACCCGGAATTGCTCAGCTAATCCTGGCAAGTCGTCCGACGCTTGGACAGGTAATTTTTCAACAACGATTTATTTGACAATACTTAATTTCAAGTTGAGTAATTATAATGATGCTTCTTCTTTTTAATGGGTGTTTTCATCGTCCGAGGTGATGAACTCGAATAAAACAAGACGACACAGCCATAAAAACGGATGCAGTCGAAAAAAACTCTTCTTTTTCTAATAATTTATGGTTTCATTTTCAAGTAAAAACTGTTTTCTGAAGTTCGCCATTCATGTGACGTCCAACTTTTTGCCTTTATGTAGATAATATTTAATTTCCTTAGGCAGTGTTAATTCTTCCTGTTTATTCATTTTTTTGGAAAGAAGGAAAAAGTTGTTAAATGTAGTTCCATTTTTTAAATAAAGTACTGATTGGCTTTTTGATCAAAGATTACGGTGTTTGTTTAATCTAGGGATTAGATCGGGAAAAGATTGTTAATCGATTCATCATTTAGTTATTTTTTAGACATACATATTTAACTAATTGAAATTAATACGATTTACGTTTTGAATATTGCTAGAGTTAAATAGACTGCATACTGGCCTTGACCATAGTTTAATAGTTTGCTATAAATTGGTCTAATCGTAAGGTCCATCGTGGATCAATGTTTTTGTATACCAATTTTACAGTATATACATATACTTTGTATGTAAATACAGTGGAATTTTTCGTGCTATTAAAAACAGCATTCTGAAAAATCCTGAAACACGTGTTTAATTGTTTGTCTAAGGCTGCATAATTATCGTTGTTTCATTAAAATCGGAGCGAGACCGCTGGCGTCATCGCATTGTTAGTATGAAATTATTTTTCCAGTGATTTTTTTATATCACCTCTGCGGCCCGTTATTAACGGGTTTCATCCTTTTGGGAGCTTCATAAAGGGTTTTCGTTGTGTCCTGCAGACGGGGACTTTTCACTAAGGGTTCATTGGCATTCGTATTTCATTTCTTTTCATGTATGTATTAGTAGAAGTTCCATGCGTGTTTTGCAAGAAGGTTCAGTCATTCTCATCAACAGGTCATTGTTCTGAAAGTTATCAATTCTAGGAATCCCGTCTTGGAACGACCTTGTGTATTAAGGGGCCCTGTATGGAAATGTCTTGTCTGTCCGTCTGTCTGTAACTCTAGAACGAATTCGAATTTCGACATGCTGTTTTCGCCAACGTGTTTCAAATTTTTGAGGGTACGGATGATTTCGAAGATGAGAGTTGTAGGTCGTAAGGTCATGGCGACACGGTGATGACGCCAACGGTCAAACGTGTCGAATTTTTTGTTTCCACCGTTTTAGACGTAGTTTTGGGCGGAGATTTCAGAAATTGCCATCATTTCGACGTGCATTGACCCCATGACCGTGTGGGCGTTGTCGAATATCGAAAAAATCACGTGCCCGTCATGGGGGGGTGTCAATTGAAAGGTTTGGTCGTCCACGTTCGAGGGACGCGAGTGGGGTGTCAAAACGGGACAAAATGTGAGGCATGTGGTGATGCGAGACAATGACGGGAAAGTGCTGATAGACAGTTCCGTGTGTTTTCACCCCTTTGCGCTTTGCTACATTTTGTTTGTATTGTAACGGTTTCTTTATAGGCATTAAATATATGTAAAGTCAGAAGAACAGCAAGGCGTATGCTATGTATGTATGTAGATTATTGGAACCTTTTTCTCGTCAGGATTAGGATCACAGCCAACAGCCCTGCAGCTTAGTTAACACGAAGGCTTTGATATTCTAAGGGGTCCATTGCGTCCTGGGAAAAAGTACCGCAATGCGGCTATTATTAACTTGATGGAATGCAAAGAAAGGTTGTTCAGTGCATGCTCAGTTCAGTCAAGACAGTAGAACACGACGCATTTTCATTAGTAAGGGTAGCTTTTTTTTGCATGTCAATTTTTTGCATTTCAATTCTTTAAAAATATTATACCTTAGAAAGGACAAAACTTAATTAAAATTTCGCACACGAAATATGGCAGGGAAAAACAAGACATCAATTGTAATGGTGAGTTCGTAAGAACTAATAAAACTTTCGTGTAATATGAAATATTTACATAATTATGTCTAAAATTTTTAGACCCCTAACTTGAGAATCGAGAACTATGAACTATACTTTGACATGAACGCCCTTATCGAAGCCAGCGACGCGGGCTGGCTTACCGTGCTGCCATGCACTTTTGGAAATGATGGATATGGAAATGACAAAACCAATATGTAAATAAGATACATTTTGACCTTTCCCTTAGGATTAGTGTCCCATAGCAAAGGGTGTTTTTTCTGATAAATTATGAGGTTCTACTGGAAAATGATTCCAATATCTAAATTATTGTAAAGGGTGGCCACTGCCCCGAAGAATTAGGTTACTTAAATTAATACGTGTGGTCGTACTTATTTAAATTAAGCTTAATTTTCTAGCTAAATATGTTCCTATGTGAGTATATACATAATTGGGGTCCTACGTCACCTTCCTAACTGTGGTAAACATTGTAAATTTTTCACGTGTATTTAACCCCAAGATTACAAGGCTCCGTAAATATATCTGACTAGGTAAGGTTGGTGTGTATGTTTATACCGTAAAAATATGTCATAGGAATTAACAGTCAGAATATTTCAAGAACCACAGTCACCGATCATATTGGGTAAAAATGAATGAAGAATTTTTTTAAACCTTTACGGAAGCATGATTTGCGAAAATCATTCAAGTAAACCCTTGGTAAATTGAGAAATATTTTTTTTACGAATCCATAATTAATCAGGAAATTCGTGTTTCGTAAAATTTCTCAGAATTAAAAGAAGTATTTTTCGTAGTTTGTGGAAATTTATTTTTGTAGATATTTTAGAAAAATTTGATATTTTTCTTGGCAAATTTTGGAATTTTCCTGATACAAACCGAATAATGTTAAAAAGTGGATTTTTGGTAAAAACAAAGTGGTTAATATCTATTTTTCAAAGGTTAAGGAAAATGCACCCTCAGTAATGGGAGCTAAGCCATCAAATGGCTTACACAAGTCCTGACTTACATACCCACTAAAATATCCTTGTTCAGGTCTGTGCGCGTGGTCATGATGTCACAACGCCTCTTTATGAACTTCACCCTCCCCGTCAAATCAGCCAGTGGGAAAGCGCTTTTCATGAAGTCGTACCACTGCAATCTTCTATCGCCTAAGGGTGATCGCGTATATGCCGATATGGAAAATTTTGAAACGCTTCAGCCTATTGCCTTTGAGGGCAAATTAATGTACCGGGCCACAAAAGTGATGTACCTACCGGTTCAGTGGAATGATGGCGTAGACGTAGCCGCGGTCAAAATAATTTGGAGCATTCTTGTCGACTCGACAAGAATCGACAATGTCGATACGGGTTCGTACTTACATAAACATGTAAATATGTAGCTACAAAAAACATGGCCTTTCCTGGAATTCAATCCAGATATAAAACCGTTTAAAGTTTGTTGTGCTGCAGTGATAAATACAAACGGGATCAAAAGGGGACAATCTATACTCAACGGTATCACCGGATTCCACGGGTCAAGTTCTTTATCTGATGTGACTATTTCGTGTCAGAATCATGAAATTAAGTCACACAGGTTAATCCTATCATGTAAAATTTATTTATTATTTAATTACAAACATTTTTAAGTTTGTAAATATTTATAATGCACGATATTTGCTTTGTTCTTTTTTTGCTAAAATAGTATTGAGTCCCGTTTTCAAGAAAATGTTTGAAACCGTCTGCAAAGAAAAGAATGATGGGCGCGTTGTCATTAAGGACATGGATTTTCCAATTTTAGAAATTTTGCTAAAATGGATCTACACGGGAGAATTTGACACGTCTGGTGACAATTTGACACGTCTGGTGACAATTTGATACAAGTCTTCAAATCGGCGCATCTCTACTGCATCACATCGCTGAAAGATTTGTGTATTTCTCTTCTTTTTGAAAATGTTGGGTGTGACAATGCCCTGGAAATGTATGCTTTGGGAGATACTTATGACGAAGAGGAGTTACGGGAGAAAGCTTATAAAATTATAAAGGCGTGAGTCACGAAATAAGCATAAACTATTTTAGAAATGAGGATTTTATAGGTATGATTGTTTATGTGCAGAAATCGGGCTAAAGTATTCAAGGAGAAAGAAGTATTTATGGAATTTGTGGGGCGATATTCGGATATTGTGCATAGATTATTTTTGGAGTAAATATAAATATGTATGTAGTACCATTTTTTGGAAATTGCTAATCCATAAGTTATGTCAAATAAGTATTAATTCAAGAATGCTTAAGTTTTTCTTTAGTGAAACAAATACGAAGAATTGAAAAGTTTTCCATTTCCCTAAGCCTAATCAAATCATTTTCAAATGGAAGGATATATGCGCTAAAGCGTTTAAACACGTACATACCTATATATATTTCGTATTTTTATAATTTCTATCATAGAGTCTTATGACAAAACTGTCATTTATCAAAAACGAGTCAATTTAAAAAGGGGGAGATATATTTATGTTCATAAATAAATTAAAATTGTTGTTTACAAAAAATGTAACAGGTATAATTATTTAGGAGACCAATTCAATAGATAATTCAATAATAACTGCGATAAATATAAGCACAAGAGAAAACAGAAAGCTTTTACACAATCGTCGTCAGATTTCAAAAATATAAATGTACATATGTATTTATGAAAATTTTGCACAGTGTATGTATAAATGGGCTTGATTTCAGAAACGAAAAAATTTATATGGTAATGCTGGTGAATAATAACTTGACGAACGTTGTTTCCAAAATCTCATTGTAGCGAAAGGATTAGTCTTATTTTTAAAATATGTACGCAATGTTGCAATAAGTCGAACTATTGTGTACATATGGGAGGCCTCGAGCCTCATTACTGATGTGATCTTATTGTAGACAATTTCAACTCTGTCTCTTGAAATTTTTCTACAAGACAAAATAAATGAAAGCGTGCAACGAAGAGATGTCATGTCACCTAAATACCTATTTATGCAGTTAATCGCTTTCCTGAATATCTTCCACGAGACCGAGTTCTGGATAATTATAATACCCGGATTTTTACATCCCTCTCTCACTGCATTCTTCCCTCAATGGGAACAATGACAGCTTTGTTCAGGTTCCAAGTTCAGATTTAATTTTACGGTGTCAGGAATAGTGTTCCATTGAGAGATTTATGTTATAAGGTTGTACTAAATATTCACGCAGCTCACCACGTGTCATATTTATTTTCTACTTCAATGTAGTAAAAGAATCCTTACGCGAACGGTTCGTATTCTTATTTGTATAAATAGGGTTACCACAATTTGTTGATTTTCGAGCAAAATTAAATATGTAGATTTTCTTCCGGAAACGATCTCCAAAACTTTTGAGGATGGAAAGTGCGTATTTTCGGAACGAAATGGTAATTTGATTGGTTATTTTTGTCGACAAATTTAAGGCGTATATTTTCGAAATTTATGAAACATGTGCAAACGATTATGTGCTAGATATGCCTATATATGGAGCGTAGTCACCAGAGCGTCTTATTTATCATCACAACCATTTCTTAGGAAACTTGCGAAACTCTAAAAAAAACATTGTGTCGTGAGGATATTTGCAAAATAAATATGATCTTACAATTTCAAAAACATACACAAACAATCTGGTATCCTATTTTAATTTGGTTTTGCACGGATTTTTTTACAATTTCTAAAGCTTTTATCTACATAATAGACAGATGAGTTTGCGAATTAATTTTCTGAAATAAAAACATGCCCAGTTTTCGGGTAAGCTTGCGAAAAAAAATCCTGGGGCCACTCCCAGAGCCCCCGCTTAAATATCAGCTTAAGCTAATCTTTTTTTGAACGAGGTTTAAGCTCGTTTTTTGGAGCCTCCCAGAGCCCTGATCAGATTATTTTCGGATCGGCTCATCTCCGGTTTAGGTTTAAACCAGTCTCAATTTTTCGTGAGACTAAATCCTGCCCGACTGCAGCTCCAAAATCATTTTCACCTCGATAAATACGATCATTGCACAGTAAAAATTCATTTACCGTTAAAAATATACTGTTAAAATTCTACTTCATCCACCGTAAGTAATTGTAATTTCGTTTTCTTTGTTTTGTTGATAATAATAACCGTTTCTTTTTCGAACAGACTCCAAGCTGGATTGTGACTTTGGCATTACTAAAATGAGTCCTTCTTTCATTGCTGAATAAGTTAGTCAGTTAAATTAATTGTTTTAAATGGTCTTGACTCATAATTAATGGTCGCGACTCATTTCTTTAGGATGTGCTCAATCTGACTTCTCGTGTTTGGGAATAGGACGCGACGACATTGCGAACAATAGGAAAACGATATTCTATGCCAAACAATAAGTTTACTATCGGCTTCCAGTGTCAATAATAATAAATTGTAAATTTATTGAATATATTAAACGGTAGATAAAGTGTTACAACCATGCATATGTGAGTTAGAGCCTTTCCTTATTTATATTCGAAACAACATGAACTGAAACATGGCATTGACTTAAATAAATCTAGTCGTTACTCATCAAGATAGTTAAATTATCGGCTACTTTTCGTTTTTTAAGGTCCAACTCTTGTTCAACTTGATTACGTTCCGCCATTAATTCCTTGCATAACATCAACTTGCTTTGTCATTAAATCAATCTGCGATCGTGATAGCTGCTGTGATTTCGTCCGTGTGATTTCGGGGCACTCATGTAGATTAAGAATTATAGCAAGTCTCGATAGTACTCGTGCCTCTTAAGACTTGGGATTTGATGAGTGACGCAAATAATGTGCAAACAAGGCTGCTTCTTATTAATTTGCGCTTTTGAGGGACGATAGCTGCAGCCGCAAATTCTAGTAAACAAATCACAATATTGAAACTTAAAAATTGAAATTGGTTGTAACTCAACAATAGTTGGTTGTCACTCAACTTACCTGTTTTTGCAAAATTATTTAATGTGAAATTAGCGCATTCCTCGATAATCCGATTCACAGTTGATCGCGACACACCACAAACCCCCCTCCCCCTACCACATTTCTCTGAAACCACCCTGACCTTAATTGGCAAAGAAATACACTTTTGTATCGACTGGGACGGTGGTACTTATTTGTCCTTCAAGCTTATCATGAAGTTCGATAAGCTCTCTTGCACCCCAAGCTGATATACCATAATGTTACCTTATTTCACTGTCACTTAGTTTATCAAATCTTTGTTTACTTTTCTTCTAATTGCACCCGGTATAAATAAGGGCACCGCCATATAAAGGAGTCACGACTGCAATAATTTGCAAGTCAAGGCCCGGTGGAGATTCAGGGATGAACTACTTGTTCGTCACTCGGAGACAATTAACTAGCAATTTGGACATACGCATCCAACATTAGAAAAAATTAATTCTTAGTAAAACTAAAAGAAATTATTTACTTGCGAGCTAACAGGTGAGAGAAGGCGAAGATTTGGACTTACGACTACTAATAGCAGTCGCAGCAATTTTGGCTTAGTTTTAGTCCTAAGTTTTTCTCTGGACACCATTTCAATCCGTGTCCAGAGCCCCGGCTCAATTTCGGATTAGCTTAGATTTTAAGCGGATTTTTACAATGGAAAAAGTTTAAACTTTTGTCTGGGACGGAAAAAAATCAGATTATGTTTAAGTCTCTTTTTTTTGGCTTAAGCGGGGCTCTGAGAGTGGCCCCTGAGGTTTTCCAGCAAAAGTGTTGCGAAATCTCGCAAATTTCACAAACTTCGCAGGTTGTGGTGCTACGCTCAATTTGCGAACTAAGTATGTAAAGGTTGACGTGAGTGAGAACGCGCATGGTAAAAGTATTTATTACTTTGTACCAAGTGAGTAATCTCGGTTTGGCTGGTAGGATTAGGATTACGTGGAGGGGGAGTGAGAGTGACATGCAAATTAACCATAATCCTTCTTCCAGTCAGATTTCCAACTGTTTCTTAATTACGAGATTGTTCTCGACTTGTCTTGATTGGAAAAGAGGGGAGAGTGAAAGCTAGGAAGGGGAATTTACTGCACAAGTTTGTAAAATAATTCCCCTCGGGATGACGGAACGGTGGCGAGGTGTTGATTAATACTTGAGACGAAAGTAACAAATAACTTTCACAAACTAATTACTAGTCATGCAAGCATATTAAATTTCGGTTGCAATAAAAATAAGCGAGAAATTTTGGTTTAAAACCGTATAATGGTAGGAAATTCGATATACAAAAATTAAGAGGTAAAGATTTAAGTAGTTATGCTAAGAAAAAGTATGATTTTTATGCATTTAATAATCTCGGATGGTTATATGTCCAGAATTTGTGCTTTGATCAACTAAATAAGTCCAACTTTCTTGGGATTTTAAACTCTTGCGAATGTTCTCAAGATCAGCGTTAAACAAGCGAGTGGGAAGAAGTATTTAATGATGAGGTTATCGGGAACGGGGAGAAAGTTGGTTTTCGGAATAATTGCATCATTTGTAAACTGTCCGGGAAGCAGAGTACACTTAAGGTGATGAAATTCTTGGAGGGATGATATTACACGAAAATTATACCCCATGGGAAACCTTTGAGTTGTTATTTATTTTAAATACGGAACAACTTTTACAAAAATATTCGAATTGTTAATTCAGGAATTTTACCGAAACAAAATTTGAGCGAATCTTCCACGGTTTGACCAAATGGGCGTACTCACGTCAACGACTTATTTATCTTGCAGAGTCATTTTGCGAATTGTTTCTGAATTGTCATTAGTTCGCCAATTTGTGGAAAATTATTTCTCCAGGCTTATTGATTTCATAGATAAGCGGTTTACCGCACTTGCTTCTATTACATGTCACCTTGACGGTCTTGTCTTCCATAAAAATATGAGAGACACGTGTAGTCTACCAACCTAATGTGCGGGAGAAAGAGTGACATTTCCTCAGAATTTTTTGGATCGATCTTCAATATTTTCAGTTTCCAAGATCCACCGACAAACAAAGTATGTTGGAAAAATGTCGTGTCACATTCTTATCCTTTCCGTAAAGAGAGACCATACTCCCATTTTTGTGCGGTTTTATACATACATGCCACTAATCCGAAGAAATGTCACAAGTTTTTGATGGGTAACAGGAAATGGATCATCAATCATTTTTCGAGTTTAGGGCTAGCTGTGACATACCGACAGGGTTCGGAAAAACCCAGGGTTTTAATCAAGAATTATAAAACCCATGGGTTTTAATGGGTTTTACCATGTTAATTGGGTTTTATTTGGGTTTTAATGGGTTTTATTGGGTTTTATTGGGTTTAAATGGGTTTTATTGGGTTTTATTAGTTTTAAGTAATAACTTAACAAAAATAATTCGGAATTTGTATCTATTCTCAAATTATTTTTGTTTTATAACACTTGAATTCTGTGATGCTAAAGGATGGAGTCAATTGTTGATTTGTTCCGAATTATAATATACTAGAATAGTAATGAAATAAACTGCTTTAGAATGAATTGAGATAACGTCTTCTAACGTATAGGAGATGTATTTAACTTTTAGAATTTAGTTTTAAGGTAAAACTCAATTAAAACCCAATAAAACCCATTAAAACCCAAATAAAACCCACTTAACATGGTAAAACCCAGTGGGTTTTATTCATTTACAACCCATTAAAACCCATTAAAACCCAATAAAACCAAACCCATTAAAACCCAGGTCGGAATACCCTGCATACCGAAAATATCGATATTGCAAGGAAGCCTGCATATATTTAGATGTATGTATGTATATAAATCAAGCTATACGAGGTGCCTTGCTAACAATTACCAAGTTCTTGTTTATGAAACCACGTTGCATGCAAAAGTGCAGGTTAATAAGTTTTGCTGGTAATAATTCGCTTGGTTGCACTCATCATTAGATGAGAAGGGTGTACGATTAACGTATCGCTCAAAGTTCATAATGATGGGATATGAAGTTTATCCTGCTGATGCTTGGAGGAACCTAATCAGAGAGAAGGAGAGACAATTGTAACATGTACATATACATGCATGTAATATGCAAATGCACATTTTAGTGTATATTTATCTGCATATTTTTATTTAGCACATGTCTTAACAGGTACATGTCGACTACTTACATAATACCACGTGAAAGTATGTACCATGGTTGGAAGTAATGCAGTATTATTTTTAATTTTGACTTTTGTATACAAAAATATTTTACGCAGTTTTCTGGTTTTCAACTTTTCCAGTTTTTTTAATGCACATGTACTCCATTGCTCGGCCTCCAGGGAAAATGAATTTTTGGAGGAAGACAAAGAGATGAATTGTTATTTAGCGGTATTGTGTGTCTGTGTCACTAAATTGATGACTGCAAAAACTTTGACAAGAATATGGTGGAAAACTGAGCAGGTGATTATGAATGAAACGTCTGAAAAGATTTGATGCAAAGGAAACGATGCACTAATTGGATCCAGCTGAAAACTCGACAACTTTCCTTTGTACCTCACCAAATATATATTTTGATGAGAAAGCAAATCTTTCCATCTCACAGCTTTCTCCGACACAACGAAGTAAATAATGATGGCAATTTGCTCACCCACCCGTTCATTGACGGGGACAAGTTGCAGGCTAATTTCTGGTAAATGTACTGCACTGGGAAATTTCTGTAGAGTCCATTATGTACGAAATCTAATGACGCTAATTGTTTTTTCAAGGTAAAGATGCATATCTGCAAGACACAATCTGACGATGTTGTTTTATGAGTTGTGACTTCAACGTATGTTGATCGTAATTGCGTATGTATTTGTTATTGATTTTACAAGGCTAGTAAGCATGTCATAATTTATGTAATAAGCTAATCGATAAACGGAGAAGTATTGAATTATCAAAATATTTACAAATTGAGGCAGTGTGAGACTTCTAAACTATAAAAAATAATGCACATGTTTGTAACACATATCAGAAATTCTAGAAAGTAAATGAATTTCTGTGGTGCCTATGCATTTGAAATTACCCAATTTCATCTTAACAGGAATAATTCTATTCACTATTTCATAATTATTACTCAATTTTGAAAAAGAATAGTAAAATTAAAACTTTCAAAAAACTAAATGTGAAAATGAATCCCTGTGAAAATATTATTTTTGAATTGGCTCGCTAGGATCGAGTATAAAGAAGGTCATAAATTTGAACACTACCTAAATATCTCCCGAACGGTGTAATTGTCATGGGAAGGACACAATGCTCTGATCACCACGTCCCCTTAAATGGCTGACATCCTGTATACATGGCCCCTACCATATCCCTCTTTCACATCCCCATCAACCATTCCAATTACCAAATTAAACCTCAATATCAAGTTAGTATGCAGTCTGCTCATCAACCAGGAAACACTGCGGCAGTCAGAGGTCTTCATTATTAGGGTGATGATCTTACAAATGAGATTCTCCTTTATACATTTTCCAATACATGCTTTGTCCGTATTTGGATTTGAATGTTAAGTAAATTGTTAGAAATTTGGCATAGTCAGGCAGGTATTGATTTCTCTATATTAAAGTTGCTACCACTTGATAATAAAATTATACCGGTCAATAAATATGTGCTACCGATTTGATAACTTTTTAATAATGTGCTACATATTTATATATTACTTACTACACGGTATATGTAAGTATTCTTTATCAAGACCGCTTTGGTATAGAGTCAAATATAAGTACCGCTTTGTATTATTTTAATACTGAATTTCTAAGAGTGTACAAAATTACGAATTTTACTCCAAAAATTTCCCTCGATAGAGCTCATTCACGTTTAAAATTCGGCACTACGTGACTCGTCCTATGCTTGTGCACTAACTAAATTAATACGACACATTCT